AGTCGATCGTAAGTCATAGCTCCGATCGCGGTTCCAATGTGCTCCGATAAATCACTTCACGACTGTCGACTGGTTGAAAGTTGCTCCATAAACTCGCATCTCTTTGACACCTTATTCTTGCGAATGCTTGCTTCTCATTAGAGATGACATTCATGGAAAAGGACCGCACAATTAGATGACTCTATACGAAACGGATGTCCGAAGAAAAATAATCGTTCCATTAAGAGTAATTGAGAGTTATTTTTTCTTATCAGAACTATAATATTCAAATATAATTGGATCGAAGTCTTGTTCTATTTTTAATAAAAAGAAAATACGCGCTACATATATAAATATAATTATTAAAAAACCTACACAAATCCTATCAACCTTCATTATCAGCAGCAGGGAGGCAGCGCAGGTTAAGGAAGACATACTAAAGGTAATAGCCCGTTTATACCGCGGAAACGGCCCGTCAAGAAAATCGATATCACTCACAGCATTGAAGCCATGGAATGCGGTGGGAACCCGCGGGCTGGTTCTTAAACCGCGATTTCTTAGCTAGTGAAATGGCGGTGTTTAACATGAGAAGGCGTTTTACAAAGGGCAGCTCGTTATGACACTAAATCAACTGCTGTAAAAACTTGGAAAATTCTGATAAGAGCGAAATGAGATAGGACAGTAGAAAGAATCCCCCCCCCTAGCCTTGAACTCATAGACCATTGCATTTTTAAGTATGCTAGAAGCAAAGTGACAACGTGAAAATAGCATTAACGCTGCGAGTGTCGGAATAATGATAAGTATAATGCCTCCGAGGGAATTTACAAAGTAAAGGAAAGGACGATAGCGGCGTAATTATATAGCAAACGACACATACAATTGACGCTCTTTTAGAGAGAAAAACTCTTTCTTGTAATTCAAATGAACAAAAAGAATTCTATTTTCAGTCGAGAAATCTTGATACTTAATAATATTCATACGTGAATATATTTTTCAAATATATTTTTCAGCTCTATAAACTGCGCATCGATTCGATTTGTCAGACTTAAACCGCAATCGCAGATTAAAGCTGAAATAATAGGCCCGTTCTTTTCAGCTGAACTTCTTGCACAATTCATCTTTCATCTTTTTCTTTTATCGTTGAAGAGAAAAAGAGTTAAGATTAATTGTCCAAGAAGTTCAGCTAAAAAGACCAGACCCAATGTAACAAATTAAAGTGCTCGTCAATTTAATAATGATGTGAATAAGCATCTTAAAAATTTTAAAAGCCAAGAATTTATTGCGCAAAATATAATTTCAGAATTAGAATCTGGAATTTCGAGAAGCGTCTCACCAATTATTCGATCACATATTGATATTAATTGCAATAATCACTAGTGAGAAAACATCGTTATTTAAGAAGATATGTATAAACAATAATGAATAAATTAGACCAATAAGAATAAATAAAATAAAAGAAAGATTTTCTCTTATAATTTATTATATAAACAATATATCATATATATCAAAATAAAATTTAGATCTAACAGATCAATATTGTTACAAGCCCGAAACATAAAATTGAATATCACGTCACGTAACATCAACGCGAATTTCCCAGTAAATGCGTGATCAAACAACGCTAATCTTCAACCGCAATGTTCCGTGCCATACTAAAATCGATAATCGGTACGATATGACGTGAAAATGCGTGTACGAGTGAGTACGCATTTACATCTATCTATGTGGGAGATATCTGTGAATTTTTGCGTAACCATCGGGGTTAACCTCCTTGCAACACTTATTCCATAAAATATCGAAAATATCGTATTTACATCCGTATTTACATTGCGCGCGTGTGATTTGCAATTGTATTTTTTGTCGATACATAAAAAATAATTAGTTATTAACGAGTTTAGACCGGTCGGCACGAAACGATATCGCAACTTGTTTGTTCGCCAAGTGGTCACGACGCGACGCTTTAATTTAAATAATGTATGTTAAAATCGGACTTAATACCACACCTTCTCTCGTGATAAAACTCTGCGAGCGTTTAATTCCCCGACGATTATCGAAATAAAAGCCGAATTTATACTCATGGGACAGGCGATTCGAGTGAGTATTACCAACACAAAGCATTCTCGGTCTGGGATTGCATAAATATGCTCGACGAGTTATTGCGATTTTATGTCGATATAATCTCAGAGTATTATAACGACGTTGTAATATCGTTTGGATAAAATATCAAAACACCGTGGATGAAAAACAAATCGTATTTTAAATAAATACGGTAGTTTGTTATTTAAAAAACGCAGAGCAATTTAATGTAGACAGAGAGAAATTTAATATTCCCCTCAGGATTATAACGTACAATCATCGCTTATATTCTGAAGATCAATTAATTTTTCATGCTTTTTTACACAAAAGTGTATTATTTATAAAGTTTCAGTATGACAAGTATCTTTACTTATAAATTTATATCTATATAACAGATTTTAAGTAATTAATTAATAATTCTTATCTATTTATACATAATAGATATATCTATATAATATATATTTTATACAAGATATACATATATTGTATATCTAGTAGTATAAATTTTTTAATCAAAAGATATGTATCGCACATTTCAAGAAATGAATATCAAACTTCGTAATAATTTACGAAAAAATACTATTTCAAGCAAAATTGTGGTGTGTGTGTGTGTGTGTGTGTATGTGTGTGTGTGTGTGTGTGTGTGTGTGTGTGTGTGTGTGTTGTGTATTATATTTTAACAGATTCATAATAATTACTTCATTTTATGATAGTAAATCAATAATTATTATAAAATCAATAACTGTATTTTTATCTTACAATTCTAAAGCAATTTTAAACTACGGAAATTATTTGATCACAACAAACTATACATTTTAATAAAATATTCAATACTTTATTAGGATTACTTCGATTGATCTTTGCAAAAATATGATTATATCGCAAAAATTAGTCATATCATTAGAGTTATCGCAAAAATTAATCTGTCCTAAGCTGCGGTGGGTATTCTAGGAAATCAGAACTAACGATCTGAAATTGCGCGAAAACATGCTGGACCTTCGATGTTCACGCCGCGTGATTAACGCTAAACGCTATACTGTACGGTTTTGAATGCTACTGATATAACCGATTGCTTACATGCACAAGCCAGAAAGGGATCAGATCAAGGCAACCATAATATTTGACGTTTCACACACGTTGGAAATTCGACTCTTGTGGTTTCGGGATGAATCTTTGAGTGTTGTGCAAGCAGATGCATGTCGGCTAAATATTTAGTCGAAATGTTAACAGAGTTATAGATACTATATACGAAATGTCACCAGTTCAACTTCACGGTTGCACATAATTTGACAGAATATTTACAAGATAATTATTAACAAAAAAAATATAGCAAAATAAGAAAACATAATTTGCATAAACATAAATATCGTTATTAATAACTTTAATCTTATAATGTTTAATGTTATAATATTTTTGTTACATCTTACAATATTTAATTTTATTTTACTTATTAATACAGCAAACAATTATCTTTAATTAAAGCAGATTGTTTCTTCATGTGTAATTTATGTAGCTTCTCATTATATATAAAATAATTTCTATTTTTTGCAACTAAATAATTTAATATTCAGTCGAAAGTAGTACGAATCAAACTCCTATTAATATTCTGTACATTGCAATCAAAGCTTGTAACAATTTATTGTCAATAAAAACAGAATAAATCTTTAATTCGATTAATTAGAGAAAGGGAAATAATCTTTTGAAGAATCAAATTAAAAGAAAAACGAGTAAATATGAATATTAAGACTAGATACAAGTGTACATAGATATTACGAGTACTCATTATATAATTATTCGCTTTAATGGCGATGTTAAAGATTAATTAGGATACATTTACGTAACACGTGAAGAAAATTGAACAATACACGTCGGAATCTGTCTCAACACGATGTATGCTGATGCATACCGTAGAACGTATTGATGTAGCAACTGATTAATGTAGCAATGTCCGATTCACATCAGGATTATAACTCAATAGATCCCTGATATATTATTCCGCTCGTAAGATCAACTACGCAGAATTCTCGTTAACATGTAGCGTTCGGTGTACCGACTGCAGGCTTGAACAAATACCACTCAACAACGAAGGCTACACCACGGCTGTACCACGGGTATGCCGTGCTGCACGATCTCGTATAAACGTGTAACAGGCGGAACATTTTGCTCTAGATCCGCCCGATCAATCCCGTCCCATCTGAAAGCACGCGCTGGCACGTATCCTTTTAGAATCACTAAAGCCCGCCTGCACGTTGCGATGGAACCCGTGAAGCCGTCCGGCAAAGCTCGTTCTATGATCTAAACAGAGTGTCGATCCGCCTAAAAGAAAGTCAAAACCTCGTACCAGCGGATTCGATATTACATTAAAATAGTTTTGTCGATCATCAAACTGTTGCAAAATTTTCGCAAACTCTCAAACACGTTTTAAAAAAACACAATCAATAAACGTTTATCTCGAAAGATTTATCTCGAAAATAAATCCGTCCATGGTATAATTAATTCTTGCTCGATGATCAAAAGCCAGTAATATTAATATTGCAGTGGACTAATTTGTAAATTCAAAAGGAATTGAGAATTATTAGATTAAGCACGAATTCACAATTAATCTATACAAAAAATAGGGGTACCTTCATCAACAAACAAAATAGTGTTACAATAATGAAGGATTTATCGATGGATAAATTAATGTCTATGTACTATAAGACAAATTTCTATTCGTATCGAAATCTTCTAGATAATTTCACAAATATGTAATTGGAAAACACTTTCGAATTATTAGTCCGTAATTCCGCAAATACGTGGATCGCCAAGCTTTTGGATAAAGCACTTATAGATCTCAGCTCCAATAAGCTCTTGTACTGATATAGCGTTCGCAATCGAGAGTTTCTACCTTGCACGCTAACATTAACAGCCGTTATTGTCGATGGAGGCGAGTCTGTGGTACATACTTGGCAACGGTATTCACGTCGATAACTTTCTGTAAACAGGAACACGTTACGCGTCTCTACCAATGTGTTGTAGTTTGGCAATCTTGCTGAGTCTTGCTAGAGTTCAGTGGGTAGTACGAGCGTGAAATTATCAACTGAAAGAAAAAGAAGAAGAAAAGGTAAAATAAATAAATAGAGAGAGAGAGAGAGAGAGAGAGAGAGAGAGAGAGAACATACAAACGTGTGTAGAGCAAATGGTATTCCAGTGTAGCTATTATAATACATATTGATCGAGCGCAATAAAGATTATTTAGAGGTCATTCAATATAATCTATTCAATATAAATTAAACGCCTAAAGCATACCTATTCCACCAAAGTGGAATCATGAATGATACGTCTAAAGCATAACCTTTATTATTCCATTGAAGTGGGAACATACATTCGCAATATCTGTAAATACAAAATACTATTCTATAGAGTCTAATTATACTGCCGACTGTTTTCCTAAGAAAAAAAATATAATCTTCGCGACTGCATTATGTAATCAGATTGCGTATTCAGGATGGAGGAGCAATTCATACGGTTCAAGAAGAATTACGACAACCGCTAATAACCGGTGTCTGATACGAACAAAGTTCGCCGATCTGTCAGCAGCGACAACATCATAATTCTCGCGAAGACGTCGGAGACAGCCGCGGGGTCGACAACAAGACAGACTCCTCGACGAACGTCGTGCTCCGGTTCACCCCCGCAGCGGTCATCCCTCAGCTGCCGCGGTGCGGCGCCGCCGGTTGGCGAAATAGACGAGGAGAGACCAAGAGAGACAGAAGAGAAGCAGAGAGAGAGAGAGAGAGAAAGAGGAGAGAGGAGAGAAGCGGTCTGCGCGTAACCGGTCCGCGCTTTATCCGCGGCGAACGCAGCAAAGTCATCGCGCAAGCGCGCGGTGACGAAGTATCCCCCGCAGGATCATTTCGCGCCGCGACGCCGAGCGGCAGGCCTCATCCGCGCCGGCGGCTGGTCCATGCGGGTTCAACGTCGTCGCGCGGGAGGACGACGACGACGGCGACGACGAAGGGCGACGACGATCAGAGGTGTACGATGACGATCGTCCGGATTGACATTGCTAGTTAATCGAGGAAAAAAGAAACGCGACTCGGATCAACCTGATTGCCGATCGAATGACTGCCGACGCGCGCGTCTCGGCCGGAGGATGCTGCGCCTGAGACAGGGTACTCGCGGGTCGCGCGTCGCGACGCTCGTCATCCAGGCGAAAGCTCCACGTGAGCGCGGCTGTCATCGGGGACGCGTGCAGGTTGCACCTCGGCCGCGTGAAAACGGGACATCGTCTGTGAGCATTTAGACCCTGATTACCGTGGATTACCGTCGAGGATTTAGGATCAATACGCGCATAGCATCTGACAATACTGCTGATATATCGTACCAATCGCGTCTCCTACGCTTGGGAAGCTTTCGCGCCATTCAGAGTTGATAGTTGTAATAAAATCGTGGCATTACAGTGGTGAATGATTAATCTCCTCGCTAGGTGTTAATCGTGGTGTAATCTCTCTAAATCGGAACGCAATGTTCATGTAAGAATTAAAAGTTGCTTATATAGTGAAGTACGGAACATGTGTATGGTTTTGCGGTGAAAGTCTTAAGTGTCTATACTCTTTCGAGGAGGCACTATCGATTTGGCAAGGAAACTCAATTCTGTTTTCATTGTGAATGATATGACACAGTGAAGGCACTGGCAAAGTGTGCGGACCTGGGAATATATGTAAAAATCGATGATTATACGTCGTGCTTCACGATAGCGAGTACAAGCAAGGATCGGTAGTGCAGCGAGCGATCGAGGTGTTAAAAATGCTGTGTCGCTGGCTCGCCGTGCTGGTACTCGCTGGTATTCTCCTGGTTATCGAGGCGGTCAGCCAAGGTACGTTGCAATTTCGTCCGAAATCCTCAGAACGTTAGCGAACGACTAACTTGTCCGATGAGAACTTGACTTTGTCAACGAAACTTACCGCGTTCTTGCGGAAATACTCAAGATAACATACTCCTGCGAGACTAATCTACGTAATTGAATGTCAACGACGAAATCTGATACAGTACCCTCATTTTCGCGTTTATCTAGAAAACTTATTACGTAGCTAAAACTAAAGTACTACTGCAGAATATAACCTTTGCAGTCTGAAAATGCATACTGAAAATTCAAGTAATAAGTGTAATAATAAGTATCTTCATATATGTGTGATTTAATTTTCCACGTAAAAATGACATCGTACTACATATAAAAATAGATTTACACATTTAAGTCTGTAAATCTATTGTGTATTATTTGTGTAGTATTCTCTCTAAATTCTTTAAAATAGAATCTCACTCTGAAAAGTGAAAATTCTGCCAGTCTCAAAAGAATTTTTAATCTTTAAAAGTGGAATTTCACTCTTCAGAATGAGATTCCAATCCAAAGGATTTAGAGAATACAGTGTTATTTTTTACATAAAAAAATAAATCACATTTATAAAGGCACTTATTACATACTTGAATTTGTAGATATCGATTGTAAATATCATCGATGCTTTTTCATGTCGTGTTCTCTTCTCGTGCGAGTATAATACATTTCTATTACGATTACACTTTTTAACGTTTGCATAGAAAAACATAATCACTAGTAAAATAGGTATTCCGTAAAATCAAACGTGTAGCGTCGCAAGAAATCTCTACTCCATTACGCTATATTGGAGCTTTAAGAACCTTCGCAAAGCAAGTTAAGTTTTTTCGCAATCCTCTACCTCTAATCAACGCGCGTAGTCTTGCATTACTAATCGCGAATTAATGAAACACATGCTCAAAGAAATTCTCAGATGCTAATTGAAACCAATACGTACTTAAGACTGGAAATCAGGTTTGCACAGCGTTATTTCAAGAACAATCTAAACCTTTTCTTAACTCCAATATATAACTATATTAGATAATTACTATATCAAAATTTAAATAACACATAAAACCAAGAATATAAAATATATATATATATATATATATATATATTACATTATTTTTTCACCTATAAAATTAAACGTTTAACTGCACAAGTTTAAATCAAATGATATCTATAAAATTACACGTTAACTTCAGTAATGAAAAGACAAATCGTACTGGGAATATATCTCCTCCCCAAAGTCTCCTGAATTCCAGCAGAGCATCGGAATTTTCGCGCTGGCGTGAAATTGTATGAACTTACATAACATTTGCTCATTCGCGCAACTCCGGTTGTCGCTCATAGCAATCCAAAGTAATTACGTGGGCGAAGATTATGTCACTTCGACTGAACCGCAGCAGCGTCCCGTTTCTAACTTGCGGAAATATCTGCGCGGCGAGTTCGCGGGTGCCGAGTTTGGAAACATCGCGGTCGCATTCAGTCTCGCGCCGCTAATTGTCGGTTCATAGTCAGTGATCCAGGATAATTGCGCGGATGGTGGCTGCTCGAGTGCGAATGCACCGCTCGGGACCACGTAGCGAGAGATGGCATACGTGCTAATGCGCGGAAACACGTGCGAGAATTTGCTTCGTATACGTTTTAAACGTGCCACGATAACGACGACAACGATGACAATGACAATGACAACGATGGCGACAATCGCGACTGTGAGATTGTGTAGCCACCGCCAGCGGCGTTTTACGACACCGTGTCGCTTGAATAATTAAAAATCATCTCGTTTACTTGATATTCCCCGGACGGCGTATACTAGTATCGACCTAAGAATCGGAAACGTACAATCGTCACCGACTGGTCCCATGATTACGAATATGGATGAAGTCCTTACAATCAGAGTGCGCGACAAAATGTGGCACGTATCAGAGACGCGAGTACACAGAGAGGCACAAACGGAACAAAAGCACTCGTCTCGCTTCGCATCGTCCGCGCATATTGGCTCGAGAACGTAATTGAGTGCGACGTGCAAACACTCGCGGCAATTGTTTTGCCGTTTGTCAAGGGAGACATGATTTCACCACTTTGAAACTAGTCTGGCAGCTGGAACGCGGTACTTCGCGAGAGATAACGAGTATTGTCAGTCTTTTTTTGCAACAAGACTAAAAAAAAAAAAAAATTGGGGAAACAAAGAAACAGGAAAAATGTATTAATAACCAAAAAGAGAGATAAAAAGTAATAAAGTATTCAAGTCAAATTGCTTAAGAAATAAAGGTGAGGAAAAAAATGGTTTTTGCAGAAATATCTGAAAATTTACAAATGTCAAAATCTTGATGCATTATTCACGCTCTAAATTTTTGGAAGTGATATTTCACTCCCAAAGAGTGATGGTTGTATCAGTCAAGAGTGAAATTTTCTTAGAGTCACTCCAAGTAGGAATCAATTTTCAATCTATGTGGAGAGAATAATTTCACTCTGATAAATGTGAAGTTTAGCTTCTCTACATCTAATTTAAAAAGTTATTAGGCTCATTCGACGTGTTTTTGCACAAAATGAACGAATATGACAGAAAAAACCGTCACGAGATATTAATCATTAAAGTTGACTTTTTAGATTAGATTAAAAAATTTACTCCTGAAGGAGTGAAGTGAATTTACTTCTTGCCGGACTGGCGCAACTATCAATTTTCTTGGAGTGAAATTTCACTCCCGAAAATTTAGAGTGCATGTATAAATATCCTACATTATTATTTTGATGCAACCAAATTATTTGCAAATTATTTGCGTCCTTTCCGTGTATAAAAATGTGATTAAAATGCATTTGGTTTAAGACTTCTTTCATCAACTTCTAGTGAAGTTAATCGACGATTGACTCGTAGAAGTGCCAATAGCAGTTAAATGTATCAGGACTTCTTTCCCTTCCTTTTCTAATTTTGAGACAAACTACATTTAATTTTAACATTGACAATCGTGGTTGATTTATGCTCGTTTTCTATCAATGCAATTTCATTGTAATCTCAACTAACTTTTCATCTTTTTTTAGAATAAGAAAAAAATAAAGAATAAATTGAATCGATTTACGTTAATCTACATTAATAGAAACAGGCATTAATTATCAATTAATTTAATCAGAAATTGATGAAAAGATCCTTAGACATTAATTAGTACTAATTTGTTAAAAGAGTATATTAAATATATTCCGATTATTGTAAAGTTACTGTAAAGTGT